GGATTACCCTTCATTGCGCTCCTTCTCCTGATCTATTATCACCTACGTCCACAATATATATATAATTTCATTGTCTTTTAAAGTACTTGCGACAACGTATACATCAAATGTTGTCTAAACCTTAACAGTGACGTAAATTTAAAATAATCAGTAAATTGGCACCGCATTCTTGTATATTAATAAATAAATAACAATTTACATAAAATTCATGTTTTATTTATTATTTAAACTATATGAAATTGTAATTTCAGCGAGATTATATATAAAAACAATCTTTTTTTTACTATACATATTACACAATCCGTTTTATATCACATATTATAAATCTATACAATTAAACGAACTTATTTCAACATTAAAATATATTAATTTTCAATTACTTTGTACTTCGAAGTTACGTAATTAGCTAAAACAGATATCACATTAAAGAGATCTTATACGTTCAAAAATAAAAAATATATTACAGAAACAAAATATTTTTTGTATTTATATTTATATATATCGTTTAAAAATAAAGTATGTATTAAAAAAACAAAATAATCTTTGTACTTCTATCTACATATATTCAATATATATAAATATAAATACAAAGAATATTTTGTTTTTTTTATTGTTAATATTATACTATGTATTCAAAGAAAAACATTTTTTTTTTAATAAAAATCTTTAATCAAATAAAAACGTATACAACATTTTTTTTGTTTAAACAACAAAATTAATAAAAAGAGACGTTTTTATTAAATCTTACAATACTTTTAATTGGCCTGTTTCGGAATTATGAGATCCGCTACTTTAATTTTCCTTTTCATCATTGGATCTAAAATGTAAACGTATATTTAAGCATATGTAAATTTATTAGTTATGTTATTTATTAGTTACGTAAATTAATATGTATATAAGAATAATAGATTTTTACCTTTTTTTCCAACGTAAATCGCAAAGTAATCAGCAATTTTAGTTAATGCGGCGGTGGCTTTATCTTGTCTTTCCATTTTATCTTTATGTTGCTGTTCTTTGCGCTTTTCCCTTTCTGCTATATTAGCTTCATACATCAATTATTTTTCAAGCAGGCTCCGTTTACGTTTTGTTGGATGGTCAAAAGTACAGTCTTTGTTTGTTGATTTTCATTGGATATATCAATTTCTTCTAAAGGAACATTTTCCGAACCTTTCGATGATGAAGCAATAGCAACAGGTTTCACATTTGCGTCGTTACCGAATATTGCGTCAAATTCTTCAAAATAAACGAATTTTATTCTTCCCGCACCTGTTTGTTTATTTGATATATTGTCCTTTTTTTTTATATATAGAGCTTTTAGATATTTAAATTTATTACTACATTGCTCAATAGTATGATGTCCTAGTTTCGCACTGATTATTTGCCAGACTTTGTCGTTCCTCATGACCGTGGATTGAAATTGTGACTTGTGATTTTTATAAGCTTTAATTAAACTTAAAATTTGCGATCTATTCCAATGATTTCGATCAGATTGTATGTTTTCTACCATTGGAGATGTCGTTGATTCTGTCGCAATGGATTGTGATTTATCGGCGTGTGAAACAGGACTGCAGGTTGTTGGTGCAATATCCATTTGAGAATCCATATTTTCGAAATTAAATATTTGTGACGCGATCTCAAATTTAATAAAATCAATTTTTCCATCTGAAATAATAATAGAAATATTATTCATTTTTTGTTCTATTTATTCATGCTACAGTATACAGTATTTCTATTGGTACGATAATATCTGGACCGGTCTGATCATCTTTTTTTTCTCTATTTATTATTTTTATTACAAATTAGAAATATAAATATACATAACTGGAATACGCTTTGATCTCTTTCATAACCTCAAATGATATAAAAGATATATTACCTGATGTATTTTGAACCAATACGTCTCCGTTTTCATTTTGAATAGCTGTCCCATCTTCTCTCGTTACGAGAATTAAATTAACACTCATTTTGTACTTAATATTATATATAAAATTTACTGCGGCCTTCCCGCACAGCGCACCTCATGGAGGACTGGAGACAGCATATCGGTGGTGAAGGTAAGAAATTTGTAATCGGAAATGACATCATCAGTCTAACGCACTGTTTAGCCGCAAACGGCGCTATAGTAGAAGCTTTTGATTGGCTTTTGATCGAGCATGGAACTATGGAAGACTTTATTTCACATGTTAAGAGGTTACGTGACTCTCGAGTGAGGTTGTTATAATTATATTGAGGCTATTATATTATATAAATATATTTCTATATATATAATTAAAAAATGGTTAGCTGTATTTTATGTGGTTTTTCCAAAATAAAAAATTGTGGAGTTACTTTTCATATGTGAGTATCTGTTATTATTATTACATTATCTGATATGTGAACTGTTAAAATAATTTTTTTGTAAAACAA